AAAACTTTTTGTGAGTGGTTAAAGATAGGGCACATCCAGGGCTGGATTTAGACTTGATATGGCCCTGAGCTATTTGATATATCGGGCCCTTTACAAGTCCAGATATTATATGTCAGTGCCAAATATGCTTTTAGCATACCTAGAAGGTACCTTTTAAAGGGCGACTGGGATTTTAGGGGACCCAGTCGCCAAATCGTGGTGGTGAAGAATCATCATCCATGATCTGTTTTAGTTCGGGCGCCACTGTAGCAACATTAGGTATTTTTTGGAGGGAAGCAGGAGAAATGAAAAATGAGCAACGCCCTCGCCGCGACTCGAACCACGGACCTCTCGAATACGCGTCGAGCGTGCTGACTACTACACCACGAAGGCATGCTAAGAAAGCGGAAGAATTACCTTATAAGGTATGAAAAGCATACTGTGTCAAAATGTGAATCCTCAGAAAGTGGAATGTTTATGGGCTGCCAGCAACTAGTCAAGAAAACAGCATTTAAAACTATTAAGAAATTTTAACTAATAAAAAGGTAACAAACAAGTTGAAGTCTGTTAAAAACATTTATATTTTTTTATACTCGGTATCTGTCTTATCATCACTGATTTAGTCATCTTTCGTAGCTTTTACTATTTGATTTAATATTCCGGAAATAATTTTTTAATTTAATTTATTATTTATCATTAACTAAAATTATTTAATTTCTCATTGATCTCTGTACATTTTAATTAACTTTAATAAATATTTTTATTTACTTAATTTTGTTCCTTATTTCCGTCACTTTGCTTACAGCTCTACTATTTCTTATTTACTGTTTACAATTCACGGTTTTGTATTAGACATCAGCGAATATTCGAAAGAATCCGCTCTGTTTATTAAAACCAATGACATGTTAACGTTGAATTTTTTTAATTGACAAACAATTTTATATTAATTTTGTTTCATTCAAGTCTAATATACACTGAAAAATACTGACAACCAATAAATAAATAAAAAGAAAAAAATCTGAAAGAATTCAGATATTATATTACGCCCAGAGAGGTTTTTTTAGCGTTTTGTGTGTTACTTTTATTTATTAAATATCATGGTCTTCGCACTTAAACCATAAATTTCAGTTCAATAGCAATGTCGCAAAATAATTCAAAACAGCATATCTTTTAGAGTTTGCGATAAACAGTCTCGTGCTCAGGAGATAAAATTTGAAAAGTGATTGAGTGGTTTACAGTGATTCAACGCAAAATCTCGTTTAGAGATTAATACACCCTCTGAGATAACACTCCTTTGGGTTAATAAAATAGAAACCAAATGCTTCAGGGGAGTTGGAACCCGCTATACCGACAATGTTAAATTGGCCATTTTCGATGTACCTTTTCTCAAAATCTGTTGCAGATACACGCTTGAAATTTTTTATATAATTAAAGTATACCTATCTTATTATACTGAAATCAGCTTTTGAAACATTTTGAATTTCAGAGTAATTTATAGAATATTGTATTAGTAAAATTTAACACTTTTCTCATAAAAAAATTGTGAATTTTTTTTCTTAGTTTATCACAAAGAGCTCATTTCAGAAAATACTAAGAAACATAATAAATAAGCCATAAAAATTTTACATGCCTGTGAGCAGTAGTTCCTGAGAAAAGGTGCATCCAGCATAAAAAAATCACGTTGGGAGAAAAAGCGTTTTTACCTAAAAATACTCATTTATCAAAGCATTCGATGACAAAACTAGAGTTTTGACAGTTCTAATTTTCATAAAGATTTAAGTATGGTATTTTTAGAAAGCTAAAAGTGTACAGTATTTGAAAATGCAAAAATCCCAAATCACCATTTATTGAAGATTTTTGGCTTCCAACACCCCTTCAGTGATATGCAGAGAAAAAGGTTTCGTAAGTATACTATAAACACGACATAAATAAACGTGGCAGACATAAACGTAAAACTTTGATTTTAATTTCGAATTCATAGCATAAAATAGACAAAATATTGTGCGTGGGATAAATACTTATTAAGCATCGGGTGGCCATAATTAAACTGACAGTGCTCACAGTGTTCTGTATGTGGCGTCATTCTTGCAAATAGATCGCACATCTATTTGCAAGAATGACGCCACATTTTGTAGGAAGATTAAACAAGACGGGGGACGAAGGATTCCGCGAAAAAAAAAAAAAAAAATTAGTTCCAAAATTTTTGAAAAATATTTTCTGACCACAGGCCGTATTATAATTAACTGAGCCTCTTTGGCTTTAGAAATTTCTTATAATTTTAATTTTAGTTTTAAAATTCTTACCAACGTATCAACGACATATACGGTTAACTAAAAATAAACGCTAAATATATCGTTTTCTATGCACAGCAGCACTACATCCTGTCTCCCAAGCGCTTTACAACTTTCTCAGAGAAAAAATACACAAAACCTATTAAGTTGCCTTACAAAAACACGTAGGCAGGAAGTAAAGATCGACGAGTGTTTACACTTATCTTTTTAGTAAGCACTTGTTCCTTAAAATATGGTGCTGAGTACTAGGCTTCTCTAAGAACAAGTTGATGCAGCTTAGAATGTGGAGTCTGTTTTTGTTTGAACCTCTGCCAAAATTTGCACGCGTTCGTGAATTTCAGAATTGTGCTTATTTGTTCGTTTTCTGGAGTTTCTATGAAATTTCAGCACCGTAACAGAACTTACCTTTCAAAATTGCGATGTACATGGATGTCTAATCATCACACTTCATAAACTATCAAACTATTTCAAAGCGAACAATCGAATTTCTATTTCGAATAAAATACATAATAGAAGCGCTAAAAAACCAAATTCAAAATTACATACAATTGAGCCTTACATGTTAAATTTATGGGAAAAAAAATCCTATCCGAAGTCTCTTCTGTTAAAGAAGCTGAAATATTTTGCATAGATAAGGTGTATGTCACTTAAACAGATGAAATAAAATAAAAAGAAGTAGTTATATTAAAACTAGAAAGCCAGGCGGTCATACGAAATGATCGCTGTTCTAGATATTATAAATTGTAATTAAAATGATTTGTGCAAAGGTGTCTGCTAATTAAAACTGAATTACCCAGGGCAGGCGGCGAGGGGGTTTCCACCTTCTATTTGCTTAATTACTTAAAGTAGAGTGCAATGAAGGAAACCACTGGCGGTACATTTCTTAAGAGCCACCGCTAGCTAAATAAATAAAAGTGATTTAAATAATAAGATGTTAATTCGTATGTCAAAGATCTCTTTCTACACAACATTTCCTTGTGTAGATCTTTCCATTATTTTTAAGTTCGCCTTGCAGAGGACCATCAATTATTTTTAATTTTACGTCCGTTCTTCCACGAACTCTTGAACAAGCAACACAAAGTTGACCGTGTCCAAATGCAGGCTCAGGAAAAAAAAATGCCAACGCGCTTAAGTGTTTGGCCCTGACACTTATTGATGGTCAAAGCAAAGGCAAGTTTTACTGGAAATTGCCTACGTCTCAATTGAAACGGCAACCCTGTGCCGTGGCAACGTTCACCCCATTGGCTAGTACAGTTACGCAAGCAACCAATAAACTATCGGCGACAAACAGACACTTAAGCCGCATACAATAAAAATATTTATTTATTTCATTTTATTTGTTTTTTCATCGTTGCCGGTTTTCCCCGGTTGCATATTTCCGAATTCTATTATATATAGATGTTAAATTTATTTATTAAATGTTAAATGCACGTGCTCTTGTATTTAAAATTTTTCCAGCTTAGCTTTCTCATAATATTCGTCACGCGCTGCACTGCACGGGGAATAAAAGAATTTACAATTACGCAAGCAACCAATAAACTATCTGCGACAAACACTTAAGCCGCATATATATATAAGACGCTCGCGAAGAAAGCAAAAACAAATCAGAATGATATTCTAAAGGTCACAGTTTAAACGAAATAACCTATTGCTTTTGACTTCATGAACATTGTTCTAATCCCCTGGTTCTATTCACTTTACGTTCCCTATTTTAAATCACGTGTTTCTGCAGTATACGACAGAATATATTTTTCTTTGACGAAGAGGGACCTTATAAGATCAGTCTCGTACCAAAAAAGGACCAATCTCGTACGAAATAGCAACAATTTTTCAACAAAATCATTGCTAATATAAGACTGAACCACGCCTAGTTCTAAGTCTCAAACGATAAAGAATAAGAAGAGAATGAATATCTAAGGATTACATATCCGTCGATTTAAGATTTAGTCAATCTGTTTGCTGTATAACAATGAATTTTATACCAGCGCTTTTGGAAGCATTATGCAATAAAGAAGGTGCAAGGAAGTAATGAACTACATAGTTAACAGAGGCGTTACCAAGCCATTCACCAGAAATTTCATAAGCAAAATAAAAATGTTAAGGAAACATGAATTTTATTACTACATAGGTATATTTTCAGTTATAAAATATGTATTTTACGAATGTTGCAAAGGAATTGGAGAAGAATAAATAATAGGCATATAAATGAAATGACAGTGAAAATATACAAAGAGAGCGACAACAATCGATATGTTCTATGACTAAACACGGTTGCAGAAAATATCTTCATCCTCATGTGCAAGTAAAAAGATAAAAAGGAGTTGGCGAAATAGAATGTGACAATAAGGTATGTCAACAGAAATCGAATGACATCGCTTCGAGCGAAAGGTTGATTATGGCTCCTCCTCTGGATGAAAGAACACTCGAAGAGGCTTCGCCTTTCTTAAACAAACCAAGAACACACAAATGCTAATAATGTCTAACATTATTACGGCTTTGCTTCTTCTTGCTGAGCAAATGAAATTGAACACGGTTATTTGGAACCACGTTATTGACTAATAGCATTAAATTTGTAATCTACTTTAACAGAGATAATAAAAGGGATATTTTACATTTTTTTACAAGGTTTATGTACCAAAATTACACTGAAGTCAAAGTCTAGAAGTTTGGCACGTAATCAGATGTCTTATATAGGTTAAAAGTAAGAATTAGATGACAAAATGTACTTACCATATAATCCAGCTCTCCGCATTAGCTTTTTCTTTGACAAAACCTTCATTGCCTAAACGATAGAAAAATATTTATTGATTATTAAACGCATATCTTTCTTAAGACACTGCAGATATATACATTAATAAAATAATTTTAAAAATGTAATTAATAATCTACTATTTACATTTATTCAAATTAACATTCTATTCAGGACAACAGTAAAAGGAAATATGATCATTACATAATAATAATTTTTCTCGCTCGCATCTCCTAGCAATCGACCAGCAAACTTTAATCATAAGTTTGCATGCAAAGCTCACTGAATAAAAACAGTACGCAAAGTTTCACAATATGAATAAATATAAAAAAATGTTTTATGTGTTAGAGTCATATGTTATACCAATACAGAAAAGTGAAAAATGTGCAATGCCTTCGCCGCGATTCCAACTTCTGATCTCCGGAATAACGTGTCGAACGAGCTTCCAGTTACACTACGAAGGCAGGCAGAAAGGAGAGACAAAATAGGTACTTTATAATGGAATTCTAAGAAAATCGCACTGTGCAACTCTGATGTCAGAATACTTGAACACAAAAGAGATATCACTCGAATGAGTTGCACAGATTACAAGATTTGAATTCGATTAAGCGTGCGTCAGGTGCCGAATGGCAGCAAGCCAAATGCTTCCCCGAACCTACCGGAATCGGAGAAGTGTAATTTCAGAAGAATAACATTAAATTCCACAAGTCTTAATCAACATTTTGGTAGGAGAGCCTACTATGGTACTAAAATGCCCGGGTTTGAATCCCGGAGAAGATATAGATGTTTGTAAATGTATAATGTCGGTGCGGCATGGCGGCACTCTAAATATAAGGCGAGCCGAAAGTCCTCTCGGGTGGGAGACCGCCGATCCCACCCGGGATGTTCTCCCTCAAAATTGGGGGTGGAAAATAGAATTCCATCCTCTCTTCAGAGTAGACTCTGGCAAGCATTGTTCCATACAATATGGATAAGACAACAACAATATTTGGGTAAAGTCTATTAAATCAAAATGTGCGGTTTTCGTTTCGCTAAGAAGGAATCATAGAAGATACTAAAGAAATATTTGTTGCAAAACACGGGAGATCATTTTCCTATTATTTTAACTTTTCCATAAATTTGATTTTAAATTTAACATTTTGAGATTAATCCACTGGCAAACATATAAATTTATGTTAAGTAATGCTCCTACAGAAATTGCTTTTATTCATTTTTCAATGAGTGAACAGTTAAAATTTATGTCTGTGAATTTTTGACTAACATTGTGCAGTTAAACACATAGGGACGTTTTATTGCATTCTATTTTACAAAGAATGCATTAATGAAGCAAATGCATAAATTATGCTGGCTATAAACAAGATATAGTATAATATTATGTTGAGCAACACCACAATGATGAATGTTACATTAGCATTACCTAATCTTTAATTCAGACATTTTATTGCGGCAGAGATACAAAGTGTATTTCTAAATAATGTCTTAAGAAATTGCTTTCCTTAATTCCAATGATTAATAGTTTTCACAACGACGCAATTTTTTGACGCATCATAAAATCCTTAAAGGTGAGCATTAAAGGAACAATTTGTGCCTGAAGCTAAATTCCAGCAGAAACATATAAGGGAGACGTGCAAAAATTGTTTACGGGTTAATAATCGTAAATCGCAGGGAAGCGAAGGAGAAAGACGTTATTAATTAAGCAAAGAATGCACGGGAGAACGAGTAAGACATTGCGGAGTTCCTTAATGCATTTCGGTTGTTTACTTTAAGTAAACTGCAGTGGTTCGTTAACGGAAGTACAGGAACTTATTTCATTAGAAACATAACATCAAATTGTTATCAATTATTAATTACTCTAAGAAATCTTAAATATACGAGTTGCAAAATAAATTTGTTTAAGAGCGGAAATCGCCAATTTGTCATTCACTACCTCAGAATTCTTTTTCACAGTCAATAATAACACAAAATAATAACAACAAATATTTTTCTGCCAGCAACAACGTTTCTTATTGTTATTACGGACCATTAAGCTACACATGGCTGTCTGTTTTATGTTGTTTCCTGATCACGTAAAATAAGAGAAATAATTCCATAGTAGAGGGAAATTTCGCTATTATTCTCATGAATACTATAATATTTTGCGTATTATTTTCTATATTTTTTGTAATAATTACATTCCTTTTTATATCTAAGTAATTTTCATTCTATCTTCAATTAGAATTTATTCGAAATATTTACTGCACAATAATTCTACTCTAAATCTAAATCAGACAACTACAAAATTTAATTTCAAGATGGCATGAATTCAATAAAAAGAGAAAGCACATCTAATGTTTCGTGACTTAAAGACCGGACCGCAGTTAAAAAATGAATTCAGTGACATTTGCCATATCTATATTGCTTAAAGTGTTTTACGTCAATATAGCTAAGTACTCTTGTGAGCTAGCGGGAAAAGCAGTTCATGGATGTATCTGAAAGGTACAAGCAAGTACAGTAATGTATAACGTAAGCAAAACTTTACTGCTGTAATCATACTGTAGTATTCCAGCAGAGGAGTTTTAAAGACGGATTATAAGTCTATTATAATATATTTTAATACTATTTATATTAAATTTTAATTTTTTTTGGGGGGAGGTCCAAAGAAAGTGGGGGCCCTAAGCTATGGCTTCTGTAGCTTATACGTAAATCCTGCCCTAGAATCGAAAATTCTTGACATACTTACGAGAAGATTGATGCATTGCAATATCATATTTAGGCTCTAGTATCTACACCGATGGCGCTAAAATTAATGATAATACTGGAAGCCCATTTGTTCTACTGGAGGGTGATTCTGCTAAGTAACAATGAAAAAAAATCATCTTCATAACGAAAATAGTGTCTTCCAAGGACAATTAGCTATTATTCAAGCAGCTGTGACGCTATGGTTATAGGGTATTCTTGGCATGCCTTCGTGGTGTGGTGGTCTGCAAACTCAGCACGTAATTGAGAGGTCCGCGGTTCAATTCCCAGCGAAGGCTTTGCTAATTTTTCATCTTTCCAGCTTCCAAAAAAATTACCCAATGTCTCTACAGTGGCGCCCGAAATAAAAGGGTGGTGGATGATGATTTCTCCCCACTCAGGATTTGGTCCCCAATCGCCCTTTAAAAGTGGGAGTATATAGCGTAATTCTCCCCCCTTCTTAGCATGCCTTCGTGGTGTGGTGGTCTGCACGCTCAGCACGTAATTGAGAGGTCCGTGGTTCGATTCCCGGCGAAGGCGTTGCATATTTTTCATCTTGCTTGCTTCCAAAAAAATACCTAATGTCTCTACATGGTAAACAATAATATTGTTCATCCAAATAGCTATACTGATAGTAGGTCAGTAGATTTTGCAGTTTCTACAGACATCACCATTACTTTTTCAAGATTCAACAATTATTGCGAAATAGGAAAAGGATTCATGCCAGTATCTTTTGGGTAAAAACTTATGCTGGATCACACGGCAAATGAGTTAGCGGATCAAATAACAAGAGAGGCCGCTGAAAATTATAAAGCAGACTATACTCACATTCCTTGGCCTAGATCATATCTTCAAACATGTCTCTTGACAATCTCACTAAATAAATGGCAAGAGTGTAATTTCTGTTGAAGAGTAAACGCACCTTTAACTTTCTACCAACAGCTGATCTAAATCGTAAAATTTCGATTTTGCAGTTATTCAGATACATAACAAGACATGCCCTCTTCGTAAAGTTTTACAATAAACATGGATTTACCAATATTGATTATTATGTCTGTGCGAACACTGAATCTCCAGATGATTATATATATAATGAAACGCATCTTAACAAAACAATACCGTATCAAATTTTCTGCAGCCAATATCACATCTTTCCAATTTCACAAGATATATTAAGCAAATATATCTTGTTCTTAAATTATGTAAAATTATAAATCTACTTTTTGCATTGAGAAAAATCTTTGCCATCCCGCTTAAAGTTATCAATATAATAATATCATACTTACTTCTATTTTAAAATTTCGTTATTTTATTTATAAGTTCTATAAATTTATTTTATGAGCATAAGGCTTAATTAAGACACTGTGATTATCTGTATGAAATATTTCATGAATGTTTGAATAAACTTTAAGGAGTCCATGAACTGGAGATTTATGAATCTTATTTTTAATGCAGTTCGATTTTATTTTTAGTGTTTTTTAATTTTCCTTTGATGTCAATAATGTTTCAAAACGTATATATTTTTACATTGTGTATTAAAACATGGAAAATGTAATTACTATAAATCCAGTTAATGATGAATTTGGGACAACGCGTCTTAAACCACTGGCAAAGAAGATATGTCCCCATTCATCATCATCTAAACTAAATTAAAATCACATCACATATTCTAAAAAGTAAAACGGACTAAGAAGAGAATCTGTTATGTAAAACATAAGAGTAATTTTAAATGAAATTCTTATACTGGTTGATAACTTGCCGATAGTTTTATAGAAGATGTTTACACATTTTTAGAAGTCTTGGGGGCCGTTTAAATATTTCAGGTTCTAAGGAATATTTTCTAAATATTCGATCTGATAGAATTTTTTCTGAACTATACGCCTGCGTCGTGATTTTCATGATAGAAGGGCTTTTCGTAAAATTTCTGAGGTTATTAATTTCCATTCCTCTTCCGCAACTTTTAAAGTCCATGAATCGTGATTGGTGTGCGGTTAAAAAGAGCTCGTTTATGAAGACCAAAGTCACAATAGTCCGTAGGTTAAACGTTCGAACTGTACGTTGGAACTGTTATGTACTTAACAGTACGTAGCAGTACGTTGAAAGGCATAAATGCAGTACTTCTATCAGTCTTCGTATTTTCAAGGTATGCAGTTGTACATTTCGCAATATGACTTGTTGCTTTGTATCGATGAAAGTCATTGAGATAAAAAAAAAATGGAAGATCAAAAATCGAACGTAAAACTTTCTCTTTCCTTTTGCACAATTTATTCTCTTTGTTTCCGATAATAAATAGACCTGTTAGAGTTGCAGTCATTTAG